GATTATGAAGCTATAAATTGAATTGCGTTCTTGCCCTAAAAAAGGCCTTTGTGAAATTGTGATTGCTGCACTGTTAAAAGGTCTGTCCTGCCTGTCAGTGACTTCTTCTACCTGTCTGTGCCTCTCCACTTTTAATTAACGCAGTGCAATGATTAAAGCTTTAACTTAATTATCTTTATCTTTTCTCTCAGGGTGTTCAACCCTCGGCGGGAAACTGAATGAGACACTTGACGAGAGGAGTGGAGGGGAAAAAAGCAGCGGAGAGAAACTTGGTGAGATAGAGGGAGATATCAGGCAGCTGGAAAAAAACAGAACAAAAAGGAGAGGAGGAGTGACTGACACCTGCCCTCCAGCTCGGTGTGAAGGGCATATAATGGGAGAGTGAGAGGAAGGGCATGAGGAGAGGGAAAGGAGAGGAGAAAATGAAGACAAGCGGAAAACAAGGCCTGCCTCAAAGCAAACCTGTCTCCAATTAGGACATCTCACCACAAGACAAGATGATTACGAGAAATTTTCTCTTCTTGGTGTCCTTGTGTCTGTGGGAGGGGCTTACAAGAGGTGCCTCAGCCAGTAAAATTTTACGGAGGAGAGGAGTGGGCGGATCGCACGTGGTGAAGCTGGGGGAGAGCCGTTCTATGGACGTGGATTCGAATACAATGCCTGTGGTTACTCTTCGAAACCTGATTAGCCACGAGCAGGCGAGCGACGCCGGATCTTTTTCTTACTCCAAGATGTTGCAGAATCATCCTGCCCCATCTGTAGCTAACAAGGAGAGACAAACTTTCAAGCCCAAGCGCGAGGTTGACTCTGTGGCCCCGCGCACATTGGCCGCTAGCAAGGAGTTTACCCAGGATGGGAAGAAAGTCAAAAACAACACCAAGAATGCTGACTCTTCCAAAACAGGGAGGTCAGAGAAAACATTCACAGTTCATCATAAGACAGATCTTCACTCTAATAAAACCAAGTTTAAATCTGGCTCCAGGTCCAAAGGCAGGCCTGATTTCAGCGTCCATACTACAGGCGTGCCGGGGAAAGGTTTCAGCATAGACTCGAGCCGAAAGCTGAACCTCACTGGCAGTTACGGGGTGCTGAAGCTGCTCTCAAAAGACAACCTGGTTAGGATTGTCAATTCCCAAATGCAGAGCGTTCCCAGCCTGAGCTTTCCGAGCAAGGGCAGCCGGAGCAGGAAGCGAGATTTGATTGACGTTAATCACGGACAGCTAGAGCCTCAGAAAGTGCCGAGACAAGATATAGCTGTCACTCAGTCTCATGTGGGATATGATAATCAGACTGCATTTCCTTATTCAAGCCCAGTCGCCACTACAGATTTTAATCGGGACCGGGGCCCTGACACTCGTATTAATCCGCTAAGTGAAGTCAAGCCAGCTTTAAGTAAAGGGCAGGACAACTTGGGAAAACAGGGTTCAGATAGCGGCGATAGCAAGAGCAAACACTTTGCTCGTTTCCTGTCAACACCTCGCAGCGAGGTCAGTTTGAGCCCTGAGAAGGAAGTAATGATTAGCCAAACAGAACGGCCATTCACATCGACAAAACATCTCCCGCTGTACGTTCCCTCCGAAACAAATGAGTCTCCTCCGTCTGTGCTGACAATGCAACCCCTGGGAGTGAGACCGGGGAACAGAGCAGCAGAGTCCCATGGAGACCCATTAACAGAGTCAGCTCACACTGCTCAAACAGATCTCAGCACAGCTCAGTACTCCGCAGATGAAGACAACAAACTTGTCAACAGCAGTCACGTCCTGAGGCTCCACCCTGCTCACGAATGGAGCCGCGTCGGGGAAGACGCCAAGACGCACGGCGCGGATCCCAAAAACGCAAAGGGCCTCGTATTTGAAGAAGCAGAGTCAGAGGTGGAAGAGGAGGAGCGCGATCGCATGGAGGTGAAGGGGTCACGGTCTCGCAGCAGGAGGAGCTGGATCTGGAACCAGTTCTTTGTGATCGAAGAATACGCCGGGCCGGAACCTGTGCTCATCGGCCGGGTAAGGAAAAAACTTCATTCATCATTTACAAGGGCTGTGAACTGTTTTATGAATGTTTTATGGATATTTAAGACACTGTTACAAGTCTCTTACATGGCTTATTTAACCCAAGGTCCTCGTTTCAGTTACACATCTCGTACAAGAGATCATTAGCATACTTTAGCCCCATAGTCACGCTCCAAGTTTTTTTTTTTTTTGTGCATCGTTATAATCTCGCAATTGGAATTGATTTACTTTCCTCCAATATGGTACCTTCCAGGTAGCTGTAAAAACCCCAATGAATCTATGAAGTACCGAGGCGCAACAAAAGCCCCCGATCCGGTGAGCCCAGGGGGCTCGTCATGATCACAACCAATCTACAGCAGCCAATGGGAATTGACATATCCAGGAGAATTAATAGCTTTACTTTTTCCTTCCACCATTGATCCTACCCGGAAGGCAGAGAGCAAGACAGTAGTCCGAGTGTTCCCTCATTTCCCTGTAGGTCAGCCCTGTCAGCTATCCTCGCTCTTGGTCTCAGGCCTGCAAGATCCTCCTAATGCTATTTCATTCAGACTGATTTATACTTGCTTTGACAGGATTTATTACCGCATTCGCCCTCAGCGCAACACATGCGGGGCCATAGTCCTATTGCTCAGGTCTGCAATTTATTTAGATCACTGACTGACCGTGTCTTGCCCAGTACACACACACACACACACACACACACACACCTCCCCTCTCCCTTTTTTTAAAGAGTGAGCAGACGAGCGTGGAAGAGGTCACGTCGAGTGGACAGAAGGTGTCTCGGAGCCCTGCACTGTAATGGCTGCACTCTCAGTCCTCAGCATGCGCCAACTGTCTCAGTACCCAGCTGCGGTAGATGAGCTAATTTATAAGCCTGTGTGGCCAGTTTGCTGAGCAAATGAATAGTAATGATCCCCGTGTGACTGCTGCAGGCTGCGAGAAACCGATGTGCGTGTTTGTGTGTGTGAGCGCTTCAAGTTCAGAGCTTCAGCTCAGCGGGAGGTGCGTTGGACTGAAAGGACCCAAATCACATCGGATCTTTAGGTTTTAATATCCAGGTGCAGGCAGATGGGCAGGACCTCGCGGGCTTTGTGCGCAAGCCTCCCTGATGTTTAGCTAATATTTAATGTGGCTCTTTTTGCTTTGTGCTGTGACTGATGAAGGTCTGAGTGGAATACTGGGAAGCACTGGAGAAGATGTAAGAGCCAACGGTCCAGCTTACAGATGGCACTGCGTGTAAAGCCATTAGTGCCAATCTGCTGTGTCAAGCAGGTATTTATGCCAGCACATTGTATGGCACTCAAGGAGGGAACAACGCCAGGCCACACACACACACACACATGCCCATATGATAGTGCTGACACTTGGAGTACACCCAGAACACTATTGTGACTGTGTATTTGTGTGTGTATTTGTGTGTGTGTGTGTGTACTGGGTTAGAGATGCGTATGATTAGTTCCCTACTGTATGAGACAAGTGGCGGCACACATGTATAATGCTCTTATAGATCTTAATACGCTTATGAATTTTTAATCTCCCGCTCTGGCCCAGTGTAGGCCAGCTCTATAGGTAGAGAGATCAATGCGCACTTGTCGGGGGTTTTTTTGTGTTTTTTTACCCTATCGAGGGCCTGATTGTGTTTTAATGGAGAAGTGTGAAGAAATTGACTGTGCAGGCCAAAACAGCTCCACCTGCCAGACCTAGCCCAGTCCAAAATCAGGCTCAGTCAGCTGCAAATACTGTTGCCTCTGTTGCAAAACAACGCATCTCACCTAAAACCAACTATGCTGTCCTTACGCAAATCGTGGTCATGTAAAGGTGTTTTTCTGCGGGCTTGCTTTAAAATACGCCTTGTGACATCGATTCATGCTGGATTTTTGTGTGATCTTGGACAGTTTGTTCCAAATAAATCTCCACTAAAGCTGGAAACTAGAGCCAAGAGTCTAATCTGTGATGTCAATAGAAGACAAAGGCCCTGCTGCTAAACTGATAATGAATTGGTGGTGTGGGTGGGGTGGAGGGGGCGACTCTGTGGACACAGCGCTGGGCGCAGTTTTGAAAGGACATTTATGAGCACTTCCTCTGATTTCAAACTTTCAGAAGCTCTGTCACAAAAAGTGCTAATCTGTTCATCAATCGAAAAAGAATATAAAATGAAGCAGTCGCTGAGCCTCCCACTATCCATCAGCTGCACTGTCAGAGATGCAAGTTTTTGTTTACTGTAGCACATTGCTTTTGGAGAGTTGTTCATGTTCGCTAGAGTTGCCTAAAAGGGCAAGAGGTGTTTTCAGCGGTCTGTCTGAGTCAGTTTTCTGCTCTCTACAAACACCCTTTCGCTCTTTATGTCTCTCTTACACCCATGCAGAGGCCTGCACACACACACACGGGCATGCACAGGCACACAAAAACACGTGTGCACACTTGCAGACGCTGCCATGTTACTATATTTTCTCACAGTGGAGTGTCTCTGCCCCATGATAATTGTGAATTTAATTGATGCTGTCACATGGTCTGTAATGGGGTTTCAAGTGATTGCAGAGGCTGCGTGAAAGAAACACAGATTTTTCTTGAGGAGAAAAGGCGCCTCAGCAGAGCTGGGATTAAAAAAAGAAAGAAAAAAACGCCCCTTTTCTGATTAGCTTTTCTTCTCCCCTTACTCTCTCGCTGCTGAAATGCAAACTCCCTAACACCTCATGCGGGGAGAAAACGTGACATATACAGCAGCTTCTTCCTCTCTGTTAGGAAATTCCTTCTTGCCCCGTCTTCACCCCGATAACAGCGTAAGCATATGTGAGACCTGGTGTGTTGGTGAACGTGCATATATAATTCACCAGCGCAACAGGAAATGGACCTAGGCTATCGTTCTCATTAGCATATCATTTACATCATCATGAGCATACATAATTCATAGTTAGTGAAATATGCTGGTAATACGCAATTAACATTGCTGTCTGTACTATACATGGCGCTCACACTAGGGCATGGCAGGAATCTATAACATGTAGGCATCAGTGTGAAATAGTAATTAGATACTTTTAGCTCCTGACATGCTGAACAATACCAGTCATTTCTCACAGTAGTGTATACTTAGCAGCATCATTATATTGAATCATTAGCATTCACTGCTAAAAATTGCTCTGCAAAGTGCATTTAAAAGATTCCCCCTGCCTCGGGGCATCTTAAGATATATAAATAAAACAGTTAGTTACCGACTGTCCTGCTATTGATAAGTCCTGAGCCTCTGGGTGCAACATGCGCACACGAGATATTGGAGAAGCGCTTGTAGGAAATCCTCGGTATGATGCAATGGTGAGAATGAGGTTGTCACATGAAGTTAATTCTTAGTGTGCATGCTTTTTCTCGAATTTTCACTCTTGCAAAGCTTGTTCCTCATTAGCTACAAGTACATTTATTCAGCTGCATGCAGTATTTCTCTTTTATGATAAAACTATACTGCTCAAAAAAATGAAAGGAACATTTTGAAAGCACTTTATTTCTCCATAGAACAATCATGCTGGATATCTATGCCGATATAGACTAAGTAATGTGTTAGAAACAAAAGAATGCAAGTGAAAAAAATGAAGCAATTTAGTCCATTTTACCAAAATTGCATTGCACCAACTCAAAATGGTTTGTGTGGCCTTGACGAGACAACTGATGGTGACCTGGGAGATCTTGTCCCAGTTCTGGATCAGGGCATCACTGAGCTCCTAGACGGTCTGAGATGCAACCTGGTGGCGTTAGACGGACCGAACCAGGGGCCAGTCGAGGTATCAGTTCCTTCATCCTCCAGGATTTGCTGGCATACATGAGGCCGGGCATTGTCATGCACCAAAAACGCAGAACTCACTGCACCAGGGAAGGGTCATGCATCTCATTCTGATACCTAATGGCAGTCAAGTTGCCGTTGCCTAGCCTGCAGAGGTCTTTGTGTCCCTCCAGGCACAAAGTAACAGGCAGCAAAACATTTTCCCAGGCTTCTCCAGACCCTTTCACATCTGACACATGAACCTGCTCTGATCTGTGAAAAACACAGTTCGCCAGTGGTGAGCTGAGAATTCTGGTATTCTGTGGCAAATCCTAATCTGGCACCACGGTGCTGGGCAGTGAGCACAGGGCGCACTAGAGGATGTTGGATCCTCACGCCACACTCATGATGTCTGTTTCTGATTGCTTGGTCAGAGACATTCACATCAGTG